GTGCCGTTTTTCTATACGTGTTGTGTACATGTTTATTTTTAAACGTATGTGTTCCTTTTCTTTCGTACGTGTTTATTTATATATCTGTACTGTAGTGTTTTCGGACGGTACTAGCTCTTACTGCCAATATATGAGTATTACATATATGGAATAACCAAAAGAAAATAGGGCTTTTTGAATTATTTATTGTAAGTTTTATAAATATTGCTTGTATACAATGAAAGAAAAGGTAGAGTAATTATGCGTATTATGATTTGGCAGAATTTGTCAGTTGATAGTTGAAAAGAAAATGGGTTAGTTTTAAAGGCACATAGTTATATCTACTTAATTTTTTTTTTTTGAAACAAGGATGGGTGTTTAGAGGAGATCCTTTTATTTTTGAATGCGTTATGATGTGGAATAAGTTTTGAGAAAAATATTTATTCATTCATATGTTAAAACAGTTTTTCCTATCCAAAAGTATTTAATAGTAAAAAATGCTAAACCGAGGACAATGCTCCAACCGGATAATAAATTACCAAATGTACCACCTATTAAAACTGCGAAAATGATCAGCTGTTTCAAATATTGCAAATTTTCTGTATATTCTGATTCTTTGATGGCGAATGCTCAGAATTTTTTCTGATGGATAATTTTGTCTGGAGAATAGGAAAACACTCCCACCCCGTTCAATATCAAAAAATATTTACGAATAGCTACCAATACTGTCAAGTTTTTGCTAGAAATGCATTCATTAACCCACAAAATTTGCAAGAGGGCAAATTCGAGAGCTTAACACCCCGACAGAGCTGCAAATTGTTGCAAGCAAAAATCAGGAATTTGCAGGTGTTAAAAAATCAGTCATGTGTCAATGTAAAATGTAAACAATGTATTTAGAGGAACATTTGATAAAAACATGCTCAAAACAAAACTAGTGAAATGAAAATATGGATGCACAATTTTAATCTAATATAGATTTTTTGATTTTTAGGACTATGGGAAATATTACCAACCAAAAGGAAAATTACGCGGCAAACCCTAAACATCAGAAAGTGAAAATGGCGTAAGCTACACGTTTTTGCTAGTTTTGCGTTCAATAACTCTTGATGATAATTTTCACTACCTCTCCATTTCACTCTCTATGTCTCTTTTACGCTCCCGCTGTAAGTACTTACTGTAAATGTTAATGAATGAATATGCCTATTATCAAAGCAGCTTTTTGTTGATTTTAGCAAAAATTTAATTTTTAATAAACACCGCGTATTTAAAGCTAGAAAAAGATTACTAAGGGTATTCATCAAACCTTATAAATGCATTGTAAACCGTATAAACTTATAATTGTGTAAACCTTATAAATGAACTGTCAAAATTTGTAGGGAAACTCGTTTACACATTTCTGATAAATTTATCCAGCGATTTCACGGAATAAACTTGATAAACTGAAGACAATGCAACTCTGTCGCAACTCTAGCTATGTTTTCTTAGGCAATAATCGGGATCCGCATACAAATTTTGCACGCAAATTCAACAACGATATGATCCTGATAGAGATCTGGTTCAATTATTATCCCGTCTGTTTGTTTTGTTTCACTGATAATTCGCAAAGTTTGGTAGCCGTGACAAATGAATTCATACACAAACAGACATTCTGCCATTGTTTCTTATAACTTGCTTCAAATAAATAGCCTTTATGTTATATGTACATTTATTTAAATAGATATCTCGTAAATATAATTTTTTCCAATTTAGTGAGGTAGTTTCTATAATTTCTTTATCCCCGTGCTAGTAGTATAAAGTTAGTGACACAGCGCTTTATGACCAAAGAAACCACGACTATTGTCGCATGTGTAAACGTAATAGCTGAAATACAATGCCGGCGAACGGCGAACTCACCACAGCGAAATTCGCGCTGTCAAAATTAGAACACCCGCAAGCATATGAAATTGAACACAGCCAAAGCGAAATACGAAGTTCGCTTGGCGGCGTTTCATGGCGATAGATTTATTTCTATCGCCCTGCTGTGCGATGACAGCTGTGCGTGCCAAAGGTGGCCGTATTTGTTTTTTGCTTTCAAAGTTTTAAAAGAAAACAACCTAAACACGACTTTTTTTTGTTGTTTGAAAAATATAGTTGTGGATTCGTTAAATCTGGCTTGAAACAAATTATTTATAATAATCTTTCTTTGTTTTACATTTATATTTGTTATCATTTCCTCATTTCTAAATATGGTTTAGTTTTTTCTAAATATGGTCACCCAAATTATAAAGGCGACCAAATGGGATCAGCTGTTTTCGCTACCGCTCTAATTCTGTTTAAGTAAGCGAAATAGCTGGGCGAACGGTGAACGACAGCATCGCCCAATTCGGCGAAGTTTGCCGTTCGCCGGTATTGTATTTCAAGCATAAAGAGAGTGTGGGTCGTTCATGTAACAGCAGAACTCCACAGGCAAACAGCGATGACCTACCAACTGTCATTTTGACGAGCAATGTGATTGCAAGTTTTTGTGTGTGGGCACTTTGATGTCTTGAAATAAGCATTTGCCGCATGACGCCACCAGACAACATTCTCTCAATTTCGGTGTTTAAAAACATTTAAATCTTTAAAAAACTTGCTGAATAATTTCCTAAAACGTAATCATAAATAATCCAATAAGGAACAGACTTTTATTTTGATTTAATATAAAAATTTCATCGATGTTACCACCAGCACGCTTTCTTACAAATGAAAATATGGCTGTCAAACTATCGAATTGCCTGCAATAGATGTCAAGCAATAAGCGCTGACATATATTGCAGCTCATGAGAAATAGGCGGTCTCCATTGGAAATATATTTTGTGACATAGTTTTCACGACATCAGTGTTTTCCTGTGGAGACAGGGCCTAACAGAGTGCATAAACTTATAAGATTATCTGCTTGATAAAGTTATCGGTTTACATGAATACCACTATTAAGGGTATTCATCAAACCTTATAAATGCATTGTAAACCGTATAAACTTATAATTGTGTAAACCTTATAAATGAACTGTCAAAATTTGTATGGAAACTCGTTTACACATTTCTGATAAATTTATCCAGCGATTTCACTGAATAAACTTGATAAACTGAAGACAATGCAACTCTGTCGAAACTCTAGATATGTTTTCTTAGGCAATAATGGGGATCCGCATACAAATTTTGCACGCAAATTCAACAACGATATGATCCTGATAGAGATCTGGTTCAATTATTATCCCGTCTGTTTGTTTTGTTTCACTGATAATTCGCAGTTTGGTAGCTGTGACAAATGAATTCATACACAAACAGACATTCTGCCATTGTTTCTTATAACTTGCTTCAAGTAAATAGCCTTATGTTATATGTACATTTATTTAAATAGATATCTCGTAAATATAATTTTTTCAAATTTAGTGAGGTAGTTTCTATAATTTCTTTATCCCCGTGCTAGTAGTATAAAGTTAGTGACACTGCGCTTTATAACCAAAGAAATCACGACTACTGTCGCATGTGTAAACGAAAAGAGAGTGTGGGTCGTTCATGTAGCAGAGTGCATAAACTTATAAGATTATCTGCTTGATAAAGTTATCGGTTTAGATGAATACCACTATTATATTTTTATCCACAAAAACGCTGATTTCCAACTATACACAGTGTGGTGCAGAGCCGTATTTTGACAAAATTTTATCAAAAATGTCAATGTAGTACCAATGTACTTTTGGCTTCCAAATTGTACCAAAAAAGTACAATTGTACCATGAATTTCATCACTGATTTGAATCGGAAGGTGAAATAAAATGCGTATTACAATTCGAATAAGGTTACATCACAATTTTATAATTGGAATGATTTACATATATAAATGCTCAAATAATAAGTCAACTTCAAGCTTGTTCTTTTAAAGCAAATTAGTGCATAACATTTAGATATGTGTTTGTATGTTTCACAGCATGCTTTCCACAAACATCGACTTCACATCATTGCGGTAGTTCTGGCTACTTCACACAATTAACAAGAAACTTATACCTTATTCTTTTGCATAAACATGCAATGAAAGTAAAAATTACATAAACGGATGATCGAACTTGACATTGTTTAATAAAAATGTAATTTTCCAAAATATCGTAAAGAAAAATCGATACATTTTCGCACTCGTTTTGCAATATCGTAAAACTAAGTTAAAACTACTTAGGGCCGTTTGCACCATGTCTAGTTAACGCTAACTGGAGGTACATCCTTCAGTTAAGCACGTTAACTGCTTTATCGATCACATGTTATATGATGGGTGTCGATAAAGATGTTTAACTGGGAGTTAGAATTAACTAGACATGGTGCAAACGGCCCTTAGTAGAAGTCTGAAATGCGACTATGAATAGAAGTGAATTTTAAGTTGGTACTTAAATTTAAGTTGCAACTTTATTAGTTTCGACTTAGTGGCTGGACTATGAATACGCGCCACAGTTTATGTTAAGACCTTTTTTAAACGCGCCTTTATTAATAGGAATATTTTAAGTTACAATATATAACTACACAAATTTATCAAATTATTCGCTGCGTTAAAAAACTTGGCCTCTCTTGCCTCGTGTTCGCTGTAGAAAAAAGAAAAATCTCCTGCCTTTTCACCTCTTCTTCGCCATGGACTTCCACCCTTTTGACAGTCGATTAACGAAAGCCAATCAGCGATCGGCACGTTGACAGCGAGTTGACAGTTTAGATTTTATCGATATCAGATGTTGCCGGATCTTGCTCAACACTCCCCCCTGGTGTAACCTGACTAGGTTCCACCCATGATAAAAACATTACAAGGTAAATTCATTCTCTCAATTCGTCGGCCATGATTTTGTTCTGACGTTTGCCAACATTTTAAAATCATAAAATTGAAAATAAAAAAATTAAATTGTTCACAATTGTTGTTGTTTGAGATTGAAAATGAGAATGTGTGTGTGAGTTTGAGTTTTGATTTTAAAATTATATTGTTGGCAAACGTCAGACTGCCTCTCAATGGTTTTACCTTGTTATGTTTTTATCATGGTTCCACCAACGATTCTACATCAAGAACGGCCAGTTTCGTCGCCGGCCTCTCATATAAGCCAGTTATGCTCTTAACTGTCGCGCTTCTTACCTGTCCGTCAGCGCTTTTACAGACACTGACAACTCTACCCTTGGGCCAGCAATTGCGAGGATGATTAGGATCGACGATAAGCAGGACATCTCCGGTTTCGATGGGCTTAACTTTTTCAAACCATTTAGAACGTCGGGTGATGATTGGAAGGTACTGCCTAAGCCATCGCTTCCAAAAGGTGTTGGCCAGTTGTTGAGAAGCGAGGCAGCCTCTACGTAGGAGTGGTCCATCATTGCTGAGTTCTGACAAAGGCTTAGAGCTGATGGAATTGCCAAGGAGAAAATGGTTCGGAGTCAATGCTTCATCCGCATAATGAGATATAGGCATATAGGCGAGTGGACGCGAGTTCACCGTCATTTCGGCTTCCATTGATGCTGCGCGTAGTAGCTCGTCATTGGTTTGTCGACTTCCCAAGGTGTAATACAAAACGTCTTTCACTGAACGTACCAACCTTTCCCAAACACCGCCCATGTGCGGTGCTGATGGTGGAATGAACCTCCAGCGCATGTTAGGACTAGTGAATTCTTTGACTATTTCGTTATTATCCATTAGCGCGATTACCGTCCGCAATTCTTTATCGGACCCTTTAAAATTTGTACCATTGTCGCTCCAGATTTCAATGGGATTGCCTCGTCGGGCTATGAAATTACGAATTGCGAGGATGCAGGAGTCTGTTGAAAGAGTATGCGCGATTTCAATATGAATCACTCTCGTCGTGAGGCATGTAAATAATACCCCGTACCGCTTTTCACTACTTCTCCTTATCGATAGCAGAAAAGGTCCGAAATAGTCAACGCTCACGTACGTAAATGGTCGACAGAATGCAGAAACTCTAGCCGAGGGTAGTTGTCCCATTATCGGAGGTTTTGGTTTCGCCTTGTTCAACTTACAGCGCTGACATTGCTTTTGAACTTCATTAACGACTACTCTTAGCCGCGGCACCCAGTATCGTTGTCGTACATCGTTAACTACTGTCTCTAAATTCCGATGGTGATATTTCGTGTGGAAGTCAGCCACAATCAAGTGCGTTATTCGATGACTCTTGGGGAGGATTACCAAATCGTTTCTATCTTTTGAAGTTAAGCGCGAGCCAAGTCGCATAATATTGTTTCCATCCAGATATGGGGATAACTTGTAAAGTGAGCTGGATCGTTCAACGTACTTCCCATGTTTAAGGGAATATATTTCTTCTTTGTAAGTATCGAACTGTGCCTGCCTCCACAGCATTATTTCGGCCAACTTGAAGTCTTCAGTTCGCGGTGTACGATAGCTGCTTACACCATCAATGCCTTCAGGATGTGGTCTGACGCGGCTTAACCAAATTTTGGCACTGTATACGACTGCTGCAGTCATGGTTAAAAGTCGACGCCAGGATGAGTAACGATTTGGGTCCAATGCAATAAATTCATTAAACCGTCCTTCATGATGTGTCCCAACGTACTGGCCACGAAGCTCTACTGTAGTTGCGGCTCCCGGTGAGAAGGACTCTACTGGCCAAAACTTTTTCTCCAGCTTCAAAAACGGTGGGCCATTAAACCAGCGAGTTTTAACACTGACTTCAGGAACTTTCTTCCACTTAGTAGCCTCATCAGCTACGTTATCGTATGTTGATATCGAATGCCAGTTAAATGGTTCGGTAGTCTCAAGAATTTCACTAATTCGGTATGAGACGAATTGTTGGTAGCGACGATGGTCACTGTTGATCCAGGAGAGAACTGTTCGTGAGTCCGTCCAAAAATAACATTGCTTGATTGAAACCGAGTGCGCCTCTATGATACTCTTCGCCAAGCGTGCACCCAAAATCGCTGCTTGCAACTCCAGCCGAGGAATCGTTAGCATTCTGATTGGTGATACCCTTGTTTTTGAGGCAACGAGTGTACAATTAACAAAGTCACCCTCGCAGTATCTAAAATAACTCACAGCTGCATACCCTTTTTCGCTTGCGTCCACAAACGTGTGCAACTTAGAGTTCTAAGTTAGGATATTTGGTTAAATTTGGGTGAATGTAATATCTGGGGATTCTGATTCTCTCCATGTTCGGAAGAATTTGTATCCACCGAAGCCAATTCGACTATAACGCATCAGAGATTTGTTCGTCCCAGGAACATCCACTTCGCCAAATATCTTGCATGAGTACTTTTGCGTACATAACGAAGTACCCAATGAGGCCCAGGGGATCGAATGCGGTCATGATAAGGCTTAATACCTTCCTTTTAGTAGGCCGCCGACTTGTGCGTATTAGGTCACTTCCCCGCATGTGTTCAGACATCCTAAATGTAATACTGTCATCCATAGTCGCCCACCACATGCCAAGCATTTTTCGGTAGCCAGGTCGCTCTCAATGTCGAGGTTGATGCCTTCCGTGCATTCTGCATTGAGTTTCTTTAGTACTGCTTTAGAGTTCGACACCCAATTTCGAATGACGAACCCACCTTTTGCGTGTATCTTCCGTACGTCCATAGCTAGCTGTAATGCCTTGTCTTCGGTGTCTACACTGTCGAGCATGTCATCGACATAATGGTTCTCCACGATGCTCTGTGTAGCTCTAGGATAACGATTACTGTACCTCTCGGCATTTTTGTTTTTCACATATTGAGCGCTGCTAGGAAAGCAGGTGGCGCCGAAGGTCATGACCGTCATAATATACGTTGTAGGTTGTTGAGCCCCTGGATCATACCAAAGAAAACGCTGGTAGTTTTGATCTTCCGACCTAATAAGAACTTGGTGGAACATCTCCGCTATGTCACCACCAATTGCAATCTTTCGTTGGCGGAATTTGAACAATATTGATAAAAGTGATGTTAGCTGATCAGGGCCTTTTAAAAGTACTGCATTTAATGATACGCCGTTGACCTTAGCGGCTGCGTCCCAAACTGAGCGTACTTTATTGGGTTTGTTGGGATTCACAACGGGAAACACAGGCAAGTACCAGTATTTTTTAGCATTTTCTTCTTCGGGTAATAATTTACGCACGTAGCCCTTTCTGCAATAGACTCGATTTTCGCTTGTAAAGTTTAAAATAGCTGAGGATCTCGATACATTTTAGAGCGCAAACATAGCGCTCTTCGTTTAGCCATAGGTAAGCTATCGGGAAGTGATATATCAACATCAAGTTGTTTCAATGCTAATTGGTCGTCTTTGGACAAACTTGCTGCGGATTTAGCGGCAACTCCCAAATTGTGCAAACAAATATAAGCTTTGAGGGTTTTCAGAAGGTTAACGCAGGCAGACTCTTCGCAATCGCATACATGAAAAACATGCTGATCGCGAGAAACAGCTCCATTTGACAATTGCCCTTTCACGATCCAGCCGATACGGGGTTTTTCAGCGATTGGCTCCGTCAAGTTTCCAATGCGGATTTTGGTTGGCGATGTTAAAGCACTGTTGTTTAGGCCAATAAGAAGTTTTGGTCGCATATTATAGTACGACTGCAGTGGAAGATTTTGTAGATGCTTATAATTTGACTTGAGTGTAGCGATGGTAGTGTCAGCTCTCGGACGGTATGCACATCCTTAAGGGTGAATCGCTTCCCACCTGGTGACGATATCAAAATATCGGCCACTACCGAATCATCCTCGTAGCGATGCGTGGCACCATCGTAAACATAGCGGTCGCTTTGTGCCTTCTACTTCCAGCTCGTGTTGTAATTCTATAAGCGTAATCGAAGAACCATCGTCAAGGAACGCGTACGTCGATACCTGGATATCGCGACCATATAATACAACAGGCACAATATGAAAGAGTATTTCGTTGTTTTTGATTATATGAGTGTTTACTACATTGGTCGTGACATGAGCTGGAAACTTATGCAACAGTGGATGATGCTTCAATTTGCACCCATCCATATTGCAAACGATGTTCGCTCTGCAATTAAACGGACTGTGTTGATGTAGGCATCGGCGACATAGTTTGTGAGCCCGCACTATTTCCCACTTATCTGCTCGTGACATGCCCTTGAAGGAATCGCAATGAAATATCGTATGTGAACTAGATTTGCAAACGATACCGCTTACCAATTTGTGGTCCTTCTTTCCCTCGGAATGAATATGTAACTCACCACGCTTACGTTCCTTCTGCGAATTGGGTTTAATAACGCTGTTGGCACCTTCGGCCAGCTGGAACAACCATTTACTGAAATTTTTCAGATTGCTTTCGGTCAGTGACAATTTGTGCATTCCCCAGAACGCTTGAAATATGGCGGGCAGCTTAGATACTAATTTCTGTTCCAGTTCTGGGTTATTGAGATGTGCCTGTAGCCCAGAAGCCTTCATAGATGCGCAAACATTTTGCACTTCAAGCGCAAAGTTTACTAAGCTCTCCAAATTATCCGTCGTTTGGGGCGGCATGTTACGGATTTGGTCAAGCAAAACGTTTATAATAAGTTCAGGCCGGTCAAATTTCATTTTTAATGTTGAAATTATTTGAGGAACGCACTCTGAATAAAGCAATAGAATCTTCACTGAAGAGCATTTGCGGAAGGTCGTGGACCGGTCAGCCGTGCATGAAACAACGGGTAAAACTCCTGCAAGGGTAATCTTCGGCAGTGAGCCTAGTGACCTGAAGTTTGGAGTAACATTGCGATGCGAGGAGGATTGGGAAAGATACGTCCAACGTCCTGGAAGAGGAGCTGAGAGAGATACATGCTCTTGTGAGACAGCGAACTCAAATTATGAGTGAGAAGATGAAGGCCAGGTATTACTAGGCAATGAACTCCGAGGGTTTCCAAGAGGGAGAGTTAGTGTTGCTGTACAATCCACAACGGAAGAAAGGTTTGTCCCCAAAATTACAATGCAACTGGGAAGGTCCGTATAAGGTCGTCGAACGGCTGAATGGCGTAGTGTATCGATTCCAGACCGTTGGGAGACCAAGAAACAAGATGAAGGTGCTCCACTTGGAAAGGCTTGCATCGTTTGGCACAGCAAGTGTGTATGATCGGGACGATCAGACTTAGGTGGAGGGCAGTGTGGAGAATACTGCGGCAACCCGAAGCGAACGACGAGAAATAGGCAGAATGGTCGAGGAATGACGTAGAGTGTTGCACAAAGAGAAGAAGAAAGAGAGGGTTGAAGAGAGGGATTCGACATCAGATTTAAAATCATTATTAGTAAACACTCCATTAATTTGAGAGAGGTTAAACTCGGCAAAGGTGTCGAGTACCTCACATTCACTCTCGCTTGTTACATCATATGGCAAGAATTGCTTAACATAATCATCAAACTACCATTTAACATTTGGCAAATTGAAGTCACCCAATATTATAATGTTTTGATTATCATTTAGACTATTCAATATCGAGCAACAATTACTTGTATGTATTTTATACAATTCAATTGGACTTAATGGAGGTATGTAACTTACTGCAGTGAATAATTCATGCAATTTATCTATAACGCTTTTCACAATAATTTTATCAATATCGAAATGGCTCTGGTCTGAACTCATTTCAGAGGACAGGGTTATTTGCCTACTGGGTAGACTCGAACGAACGGCAACAAGTACACCGCCGCCTTTAGAGAGACCAGTTGTGCGGGGACATCTGTCTTTGCAATATACGTTATACACTTGGCAATCGAACATTTCTGCAGTATGATGGCATTCAGAAAGCCAAGTTTCTGTTAAGACTATGATATCATAGAGAGCCAAGGATGAAAAAAACAACAATGGCAGTATTTTTGTTCTTATACCACCTGCATTTTGATAATAGAGAAGGAATTCTGAAGTATCCGATGAATTACTAACAGCGTTGGCATTCGCTAGGCCTGCTGCGGCTTCTCTTCTTCTCTTTCTCGCACACTACAAAAATTCTCTGTCGAAGCTGCCCACCTCTGTTGTAAAGGGAAATTTATCGTCTCGTATGTATGTATGTATTTATAGCGCGTCTACCTTGCAATTGCTTTACTCTCTGCTGGCGCCAAGAACGTGTTGGCAGGCTAGTTGTGAGGAATATGTATACGTACGTATGTATGGATGTATGTACATATCAATGCTTCATTTCAAACAAGCAAATGTCGTTGAATTGTTTTTGAAATACAGTATCATGACTTCGGCAACCCATCAAACATGCCTTCAGCAACAAATGAAATGGCTTTCAGCAACAAGTCAGACGACTTCTGCAACAAACGAACTGCGGCGTCTTGCCTTCGCAAACCGTCCTAATGAGCTCTCATGCTTTCGGCAACCGTCCAAATGAGCTCTCGTGCTTTCGGCAACCGTCCCAATGCAGTATCGTGCTTTCGGCAGTCGATCAAATACGGCGGTTGCTGGTTTCCTGCCCATTCACTCGGAATACTGTTTTGCCGAAGTCAATATCAGTGTGAGCTGCTATAACTATCGTTCACTTGTGGTGGCTGTATTTGCAAGCACTGTACGCTATGCAGTGGTGTGCATTCTTCCCCCGTTTATAATGTGAGCAGGTTTATAGTCACAAAATCAGCTTCGTTTGCCAGTCTCTGGTATAGAATTGACAACAACAACCACGCTGTCGAGTTTAAATAGTGGAAAATCAGCTGCACTTCATAGTAGTTGGTTGAATAAGGAAAATTAATTAGCAACAAGAGTTTACGGGATGTACATAGCTCAGTGGTTAACGCTTCTGAATTTGAACATCGATTACGCAGGTTCGATCCCTGCTGAAGTCTAGAAAAAAGAAGTCTGATGAAGAGATGTGGTGATCTCCGAAATACCTGCTATAACTTCTACCGCTTACACTTTGTTGCTTTTTAAATTTTTCCTAATAAACAATCGTGGTACAAAGCTCAATAAAAAGGCTACGTTTCTTTAAACAAAAAAGTTTATTCCAAACGTTCAGAATGAATAAAGAAATAGCCAAATATTTAAAA